ATGGCAGCTCGAACAGCAAAATAAACAAGAAGAGAATTACAACAGTTGTTGGAGGAAAAAGAAAGGAAACAAGAAGAACGAGAAAATTAACAGGAAGAAAGTCTACAACAGTTGCAGGAAAGTCAGCAGCAACTACAGAAAAGTCAACAACAGTGGCAAGAAGTACAAATGGAAAACATTAGTAAATTTAAAAGAGAATTAGATACATTAAAGGGTGATTTATTGTCTTTTACACAAGGAGGATACATTAACCATCGATCTAATCAGCCTCAGACAATGGGAAGCCCCTTCTAGACCCCACAGCTAAACCCTGGTGCAGACATCTTCAGTCGTGTTAAAAGTCACATCCCAGATATGAATGTCAGTAATAGGGGTGATCCAGTACAAAAGAAGCCAGATGAATTCGATGGGAAGGCACCGTGGGAAGCATATAGAGTACAATTTGAGCTACTGGCAGAAATGAATGGATGGACAGAGGAGCAAAAAGCAGTATATCTGGCAACGAGCTTGAAGGGACAACCACTGGAAATACTTGGACAGTTGTCAGCAGACGACAGGCACAACTATAAAGCACTGGCAGCGGCTCTAGAACTCAGGTACGGAACCCAAAATCAGTCTAAAGTCTGCAGGGCTAGGTTTAGGACGAGAGACCGTGCTAAAGGGGAAAGCCTGCAAGAGCTGGCACAGGACTTGGAAAGTATGGCACACAAAGCCTACCCAACTGCACCACCCGATCTCCTCAAGTTTTATTTAAGAAAGGACTTGTATCGCTAAAGTTTCTTCGGAAAGAAATTATACGGAAAATTAACTAACGAACGGAGGCGTAACAATATCTTCACGCGCTAGAAGTAAGATTGAAAATATAAAGAAGATCAAGAGAAAATAGGTAGAAAAGTGAAAGTAAGTTCAGAACGAAAAAGGCAGAAAATTAAATGAAGATCAAGAAGAAAGAGGTGAAAATCTAAGAGAGAAAATACAAGAACAAGACAATATTTATAGAAGAACTATAAACTGAAATTAGTTTGATGGAACAAGATAGAAAACTTAAAGACTGAAGTAGAAAAAAATCCATAGGAAATGTACAGAAGGCTTATAACAACAACTACATAAAACAACAATACAAAAAGATTATATAAATATAGAAGTCCTAGAAAATAAGTGAATATCAATATAGAGATACAGTATCTAGGAACTGAATTAGCAAATGCAATAATCAAACCAGACACATCTCTTCACTCTTAAAACATCATTAACTTTGCATTATGGAATAGAAGAACGCATTTGGTCTACAACAATTACTTGCATTGGTAATATTCGAGGATTGTCATGAACTACTCAAGCTATATCATTTAGTTACTGAGTATAGAAGGTCAGTTCAACAACATCACCCAATAAAACAGTAAACTGACTATGAACGAATGATACAATGGTAGGCAAATCAGGCACACTTTGAAGTAATTTGCAAAGTGAATGGATTTAATAGTAAACAACAGGCTATTCATCTTGCTACTCATTCAACTAAAAGAACCAGCTTTAACAACATTAAACAACTTTCAACAGAAAGCTATAACAACTATCAGACATTGGTTTCACACCAGAAGGAAGTTTCTAAAGTAAATTTTACGAGCAAAATTTGGTGGAAAGCGTGATGAAACTTTGGAAAGACTTGCCCAGTTATTTTATCTAGATGTTTCACAATAAATCATTGAAATGTTGGCACAAGACCAAATCCTAGGTGTCTTAGTGGATGAGGGTATATGAATTAGACAAAAACAAAGTAGGTATACATTTTTAAGAAGAGCTATTAAGTTGAATTTGAAAATAGAATAAATCAAAGCCGCACATAAAAAAATTAAGGCTTTCTATGGGATTGTCAGATCAAATAGTGTAGGAAAATCTACTTCCTTTGACGCGGTTTAGAAGAGCTCAACTGATTAATTAAACAATGTTTACTCAGAATGGAAGAAGTAAACTACAGGGAAGTAGCTGTTTTTATTGAAACTTAAAAGGCTATATGACCTGAAACTACAGACAAAAGCCTTTAGGCAATGAAAACTATTCCCAAAGATCACAGGGTAAGGAAACTATTATTATTGTCTAAGACATGAACATTGCGGCTGGGACTATGAGAAATTAACCAATCATAATAAACCAAGAAGTAGTTATCTCCAGGACGAATTTCATATACCAATCAGTTTGAAGTAGAAATATAGGGTTAACCAAACTTTGGAGAGTGGGAATTAGATAAACTTAAGGTTTTAAGTTCAGTGAAAAATATTCATTTGTCCTAATTTAAATAAGTTCCTCATTTAAAGAAAACAATCCATGACTTAATGAAATAACTGATGGGAAGTCTTGCAACGTGTTGGCCACTACTGGTTCTACTGTTGTTTTGTAAACTCACTATTTGATATAGCTCATCTTCTGTACAAAATATTAGAAAACCAAACAAGTTTTGTTGTAATGTTGGGTGTGAACATTTAATAAGCCACAGAATAGAAAGTCTCTAAAGGATTTGGTGAGAGGACAATTTAAAACAATAAATGTCGGAGGTGAAAGAAGCCATTTTTTTATTGCTCAAATAGTGATTGTACTTTGTTTTAAGTATTTACTTAATGTTTGTAATATGTAATTTACGAATATTAATGTTTTAATTGTAAAAAGTTGCTTTATAGGTAATTATGGAAGATTAACTTTAATGTGCTATTGTTTTACTTATGTAATAGAATTATTTAACAAACTTCACAACCCAGGGAAGGTCAGTGCAGTGGCTTATGATTTTAATCTAGGTACTTCTGAAAATTTATATTGATATTTAGCCACAAGGTAATTGGGACGTAAAATGATGGCCGTGGATTTAATGCCTGGATTATTTTTTCCAAAGTTTAGGAATCAATTTAAACCATATATAAATAGCAAGTTAAGCTAGAATGAATAATTGTGTTAGAGACTTTATTATTCAGTTAATGAGTAATCATTGCATGATTTTAGTCGGTTTGTCTGTTATTGCCAGCCACTTAATCAGTTCAGTGCTGTGAATATTGATATAGTGTTTCAACCGTAAAGCAGAGATATAAAATTACTAAGTAGGTTGTATTTTTTTTAGACACAATCTTATGGTGAAGTAAGGCCTATTAGAGAGCGTTGGGTACGTTAACTGTGGAATTTGAAGTTGAATAAATTAAATGTTTTTGTTTAATGGATTAGAATTTCCATTATTATTTTTATCAAATTATACAAAGTAACCCAGCCAACAATAGAAATCATTTTAAAATTAAAAATACATAAAATCATTTCGTTTTTCTAAATGATTCTGTGTATGCATATATAAATTTCGTTGTGTTTAAATAATACAAATGTGAAGAAATTGCAGACCGACTGCTTCTATATCACCTCTAAGAGACATGATCTAAGCCTAATCTCGGAGGACTGCCCCCATAATCTTTTGTTGAGTTTACAACTGAAAATACCTTAATTAGCGAAGTCCCCCAGTGGCACAGCGGTATTTCTGCGGGATTACAACGCTAGAAACCGGGTCTTGATACCTGTGGTGGGCAGAGCACAAATAACCCATGGTGTAGCTTTGTGCTTAACGTAAAAAAATTATCGAAAGTGCTTAACTCTCAGCTTTTTTTCTTTATATGTAAAAAAATTAAAAGCAGCTCAAAGAAGATTTAAAAAAGAACAAAATGTAGCAAAGAGTTATGAAGTTCTGTTCTTCTTTAAACCTCGCCTTAGCTGTTGTTGTTCACTCTTTCATGGTTTAATGTGTGAGGTACTCCTGTTTTATTGAAATGTCTTTTATATAGGTTATCTGTTTCAGGGTAGATATGCAGTTTGATGTCTTCAATTGTGTGTAACTCACAGGTTTTAAAAATAGCTGAAGACTGTGTACTTGAGGTCGAGTATAACTACAAAACTGCTCGGCTATGGCACCCAGGAATAAGTAATGAAGATATGACATGCAACCGATTCTCCTCATTGCATACATAAATAAGTCAAAGTAAAACAGTTACAAAAGTAACGTGCCTTGCAATAGTATTCATGCCCTACCAATAATGCCACATTATTCAATTGTTATGAATTTGTTTTTATTCAAAACTCTAATGATCAAACTTGACACTATTATGTGTGAAGGAGGTTCAATATCAGCAAAACCTGCAAAGAAAATATATAAATTAAAATTTTTTGATTGCATAAGTATTCATCCCTCTAAGTCAGTACTTAGTTGAAGCACCTTTGGTAACAGTATTGCTGTGAGTCTTTTTGGATAGGTCTATACCACCTTTCTACAATGGAATGTTGTAATTTTTGCCCATCCTTCCTGGCAAAATTGCTCCAATTCTGAAAGATTCGTTGATGGACTGTAATCTTCAAGTCTCGCCATACGTTTCCTATTGGATTCAATTCAGGACTTTGACAGGGTCACTCCAGGACATTCATTTTCTTCCTTTTAAACCACTCCAGTGTGGCTTTGGCCTTGTGCTACAGGTTATTGTCTTGCTGAAATATGAATTTTTGACCCAGTTTTTCCTCTATGATTCGCCTATACTTTGCACCATCCATCTTCCCCTCAATCCTGGCAAGCATCCTAGTCCCTGCTGATAAGAAGCATCCACATAACATAATGCTGCCACCACCATGCCTGAAAGTTGGGCTGGTGTTCACTGGGTGATGTGCTGAGTTGAGCTTGTGCCAGACGTAGTGCTTTGAATTTAGACAAAAAACCTCAATTTTTGTATGGTCTGATCACAAAACCTTCTACCACACTTTGTTGCAAACTCCATACGAGATTTAAGATGATCCTTTTTCAGTAATTTCTTCTTCCTTGCAACTCGCCCGTACTCGTCGATGTATGTCTCAGACATGGAACTTTGTAAATCTTTCAAAGTCACTGTTGGCTTCATAATTTGGAAGGGTGTTTTGATCTGGGTAGTGACTGGGTGGTATGAAACACATTATACTTCTTAATGATTGACTTCATCGTACTCAAAGGGACAATCAGCGATTTTGAAATTTTTTTGTAATCTTATCCCGATCTGTGCTTCTCTAAAACTTTATCCCTGACTTGTTTGGAAAGCTTCCTGGTCTTCCTGATTGGTTCATCGTATCACTATGTGAGTTGTGGCTTGAAGATATGTATTTACTCTGAAGTCAAGTAAACAACTTTCTTTACACACAGACAGAGATCATTACACTAATTTTGTGACCTTTAAAACTAATCTTTTGCACCTGAACATATTTTGGGTTGCCATAGCAAAGGGGTTGAATTACAATTGAAAATATTCACATTCTCTATGAAAATCTAACTTACTTATAAAATATCAGCGTTTTTTTCAGCTTTCTCAGTTTGGAGTAGGTTATTTACATTCTGAACATAAAGTTCCATTTGAAAGTTTCATGACTGCAAGATCAGACGGCAACAAAATATGTAAACTTTGTAGGGGGTCAATACTTTTTGCAAGGCACTGTAAGATTTGCTGTAGGAGGGGTAACTATACCACAGTATATATATATATATATATATATATTACCTCGAATATAGAGTTATATATACATACATAGTATCTAAGCTACAGAGCTGTATACATGTGTGAACTTTACGTTAAATATTTACATCACTCATAAAACTACATAAATACTTAAATATGAGTTTTCTTTGTACAATTAAAAATTTGAAAGCAGCAAAATTTCTGAAAGTTACAATGATTATAAAATGCTACGACATAAATTTCATGAGCTCAAGTTACAAGATGGTGGTTCTACTTATTTTATCTAAATTAATCTTTCGCATAGAACTATAAAATATACAAATACGTGCCACTAGATAGTTTTGAAAGAACTGACATTGTTATTTCAGTGTCTTTTTTATTTTCTTTGATATTCTTTACTGAGGCAAGAAACGAAAAGAGCATTTTTCATGTTGAGTAATATATTTATATATGGTTTGTTTTAGGTTAGATTTCTGAACAAGGTCATGTTTCACGAGATTCTAATCATACTTTTTTCAACTGGTTACATACCATGGATTTCAATAATTCAAAGCACTCGTTGATTGGGCGAGGTTTCCTGGATAGGCTTATTATGGTGTCACCTTCTGCTGGAGAATTCTCATTCAGAATCGTTTGTACTTCTTTGTCTAAGAAATGTTTCTCTTCATCGTCTTCACCCAGAGTAAATGAAACAGAACTAACAGAAAATGGGGAGGCTGGAACACTGACAAATGGCAGCATACCACATGAAGTTGATATACAGTTTTGGAAATGCTTTGGAGATGGAGGCGTGTCAATACTTGACAAGCTAGCTGGATATGTACATACATATATATATATATAATAAATAATTATGAAGGTGGGTCATCATAATTATAACCATTGTAAACCAAACAATTAGTAATAAAAGTTGAACAAGACCACAGTTTTAAGGAGAAGTGGAAAAGACCGGATTTAGGTTAGCAATGAAGAGACTTACAAATCTTTAATCGTTTCTAATTCTCATTCAGAATACACAATGTTTTAACACTTACTTGAACGTGACACTTTGACAGCTTGTGATGACTTATACTGTTATCGTAGAAGCATATTTTTCCACACCAATTGCTAACTACCTAGTAGTAGAACCCAACTACACCTTTGCAGACCAAGGATAGGCTAAATTGTAAGTTGTTAAGGGGTAGTTATTTTGGAATGATTACTTTGAAAAAAAATTTCTATTAAAAACAGACCTAAGATACAATTAACTTGTATGTGTTGGTAAAAACCGTCTAAAAGTGTGATTAACTTTTTCTTAATATACGCCATATGTTGACAGGTGCGGGTGGTAAAACCAATAACACAGGGTTTATACAAATAGTAAAAAGGGGGTGGTAGCCTTATTCATGGTGCCACAAACTAGTTTCTACAAACTACCACTGAATTTCGGAAAGTTACATTTAAAAAGTTCCTGTCCAAGCACAAAATATGTAATTACTTACCATTTTATAATCACGATTAAACAAAATTTTCACTAAATCTATTTTAAAAGCCTCAAAATATGAGCTATCGGAAATACATACAATACTAGTAATTATTTCCGCACTCGCGCGCCGCGCTGCTGGAGAGCTCTATACGCGTGTGGACCTCAGGCAATGGGGAGGGGAGGGAAGGGATAGATATGATGACGTCATAGTTCCACAAAGTGTCATCAGAGGGTGCTGGAGCCATGCGATGATGTCACCTTAGACGATAACGTCATACTTACACAAAGTGTCACCAGAGAGGCTAAGCCGCCATGACAGGCGAGCATGACATCCGAGAGAATAACGTCATACTTTCACAAAGTGTCACCAGAGAGGCTAAACCGCCATGACATCGGAGACGAACGACGCCCATGACATGCATCAACATGGCTATTAAAGTAATACAATCAGTTTAAAACACTAATTCATTAGTTCTATATTTAATTACATTTCCTGACCATTTATATGTAAATCGTCCTGAAAAAATACGCTTATTTAAATATCATACAATAATGAAAACTTACACTTTCATTAGTTTGACTTTATTATAGCAATATAATTTGACAAAATATTTCATTTTACACATGATTTGATAGTTATGTTTTATACTTCCACATATGATTACGTCATCAATGTCTAAATTTAGTTATGTTAACACTTCTAATACAGGTGGGTAGATTCCACCCAGCCTGTATTCCCGAAAGAAACCATAAAGCAGTTACACTGGAACTTTTTAACATGTACATGTATCTTCACGAAATTCTGCAGATTATCAGTAAACATTAAGAGGCATTCATACACAAAGTATTAGATCTCTAATTAAGTTAAAAAATAATAATTAATTATTTGCTCATGCATTTATTGTTTTCGAATATTGACCATTCAATATGTGAAATAATTTTGATTTTATGAAAAAAAGTACTTTTATGCATCAAAAATTTTCCCATGCAAAATCACTATAACCTCCTAATATCCTCCAGATAATTATCAAACGTTTTTTAGAAAAAAATATATTTTACCTGTTATTTTCATTATTGTCTCTTTGTATGGTTTGGTCGGTTCTACCGACCTCCTAACCACCATTTAAAAAGGAAATAGATAAAATAAAGCTGTTTTCATTCTAGAATTACTGCAAATTATAACATCAAACCACAAATGTGTAGTCTAAATAGCCTAAATCTCATAACATTCTACAGGTATAAAAATTCATTTTATTGACCTTTCAACACTGTCTGACTAACGTTACAGAAGTTAAATGACTCAGCACACGTGCCCTCATGTTATGTATTCTATAATATAAAACTAGCCTTTACAAATTGGCTGTGTTCTAATGGATCAGTATTTTGTAAAATGCAGTCACATTTCGGTTATAACACATTATATATGCATATACATTATTACTATTTACAAATAAGTTCTTAAATTTCAGTTATTTTTCTTAAAACATAAAACAGTAAACAAAGTAGTATTGAAAACAAATACCTCTTCTAATTACGAACCTTGTACCCATTTGTGGCTTGCCATAATTTGCAAAGTCTTATCAAAATTCGCATGTGGAGAATGTAAAACAAAATATGTTTTAAGGATATATATATATATATACGCATTCTGAAATATCCAAAAATCATAAATTACTATATAAATACCACATAATTCCACTATAATGTGTCTAAGCTGTATATGGGCCTAAAAAATATGATTTATGGAGCTCAATAATGTCTTACCATACCACTTGAAATGTACCATTAAAAGGAAGGGTTCCCGCGTAAATACTTAGCAAAGGTTCAAAGAACAACGTGGGGGACATTCTGAGCTTTCTATTGGTTATTCACATGTCATAGACAGAAATAGGTGTAGTAAGAAGTGGGCGGGGCCACTGTGTTTGATTCACGAATCTAGCGATATCTCAGCAAATAGAAAAGATAGGAGGTTCTTATTTTATATTCTAGCTTACCAATATCGGTAATTTGAGATCTCAATTTGTAAAACACTATAGATTTTTGTACTTGGACATCATAAATATCTAATATGAACTAATGCTGCAAACATACTACGTGACACACAAAAATCGATATTTAAGATATTTTTAAATATTTACTTTTAAATTAAGAATTTAAGTAATATATAATACTAAAATTTGTATTATAGTTTACAATTTGATACCAAATGCATTGATATACATTCATAAAATAGTAGTTCAATAAAGTTTTGAATGCAAGTCTACAAACGTGATGATATGGCCTTTGACCCATAACCATAGGAAGACCCGTCAGACCCATCTCGGTAGGGTTAAAACCATTATTTTAGTTACATTCATACTGTCCTTATGATCTTAAAAATCCTGCTGTTATCCGTTACTTGAATAAGATCACAACTTACATTTTACTACATAACAAATATATTTAATCACTATTATAGAATCAAAACAATTACATTTTATCATAAATCTTTGTCTACGGAACTTTCTTGGATACATGTCGAAAATGATAATAATCATATTATATACAATACTGTCCACATACATAGACGAATATAGTATTTTTGTTGTTCTAAGTTTACGTTCGACAGTTCTTCTTGATGATTTCCTTATACTGAGATTATGTGGAGGCAGTCCAAATGATCAAAAGATTCTCATTTCTCATCTCGACCAATCATTGATCTAATGTAAATACAGACCCAGTGGCTTCCAGATTTATGAACGTGATCCAGATTGATGATATACAACTGTTTCTTTACATGATCAGGTAGTTGATCACCAGCAAACACACCTTCAAGTTTTTTCACATACACAAATCTTGTGAAAGTATCAAATAAATTTCTAAAGTGTTTATAGCTTCTTTCAGACAATGTTCCATAGGACACTTGCTGTTTCACTTTCAAAAGTCAACAAGACAACCATTATAACATATTATGTGTGTATACTGATGTCAGACTAACTAAACTTTGACTGCTAAGAAATACAAAGATTTTAACGTGATCACACCCATATAGACAATGTTTCTATAAATGAAGGATGATGACCTCTTGTCTCAACACGTTATCAATGGCTAGAAAGAAGAAGTGGAAAACTTTTATTTAAAAAAAAATCAATTATAATGCATTGTTGCTGTGTATTTACATTATACTTAATATTGAAAGTAAGTTGTTCAAAGTCTACATAATCATATATTTTATACATGTTTAAAAGTATGAGGATGTCATTCAACACTTAGTTTTCTAACTTTTTTCTTTTCACCGGCAGAAATAATGGTGTAGTGACAATATTTTAAGCATTGTTTTTTTTAATGATGATCTCAAAACTATTGTAAAAGTGGATAACATTCTTCCATCTCTGCTAGTCACCTTTTTTCTTTAATATAAAAACTTAGGTAACTGTAACCATGTGGTAATGTCTTATGACTAACATATTCTTGTTATTCCAGTGAACTTTACTAAATTTTCGCAAATATTATAACAACAGAATTATAACAATGATTATACACTAACTTGTATGAAAGTTAATTTAATCTTGGTAAACCATACATATTTCAGTTTGTGATATTTGTAAATGTCATAGGTTATTGTGCTGTCAGCTTGTCAGAGGAATTTTCCTTTCAGATAAAATTGAGGAACACTGTCCAAATTACTGTTATTTTTTTACATGCCTGAATTATTACACTTTCAAGAAGTTATATTTGTAAAGTTATATTTAAACGACAGATATGTGAGTTCTAGATCAAAAACAGAAAGTAATAGCTTAGAAGCAGAAATTAATTTCTTAATGTACATTTAGCTTTCTACATCGTTATGTAAAGTGCATGAATAAATAATTTTGTTTTGCTGACTGCTAAGTTCATTAACATACAGAATCCATTCTTCATTCTCAGATTTAATGTATAGTTGACATAAAGTTTGTGTTGCTTGCAAAGTTTATTCTGGAATGATAGATAGTAAACATGATGGATATAATAAATGTGAAAAATATATATATATATATATATATATTTGTCTTTTATCCTAAGAAGCTTGAAATATACGGAAATAGAATTTCTGGTTTGTCTGTCTGTTTTGTAGAAACGAATGCACTGCTTGTTTTTCTCAAGTAGTGGTCATGTGACTAATGAACAAAGTTGAAAGTATTAGTCACAAAATTTTACCCTTAAGCATCGTGTACAATTAATTTTAGTGAGTATCCTATTTATTTTGTCTATAGAGATTTGTTTTATTTATGCAGTCATGTGAATAAACATTTAAATATTCCCCAATGTTTAAGTATGTGATATTTTACAAGTCTTTACTTACACAGATTGCAGATATTGTATGGTGAAACATGTCAGGTAATGTGAGGGTCAAGATCTAACATTCAGCACGACAGGGGACAGTGAGTTTATTTACGGATTTCAAGTGCATGATATGTTTTTTATCGTTTCTAAAATAAATAAACTTTGGAGAATGTCCTTATTTTTCATTTATGGTAACTAATAACGTGTTAGTAAGTCAGTATTTTATAAACTGAGATGATATAATAGTATATTAGTATATCTTGAGATTTGGTTAATAAACGTTTCAATATGTGTGATACTTAAGTCTGAGATTTTACTTACATATAGTAAAGATAATATATTAGTCTATGATGACAAGTGAGTTTCATATAAGAAAATTACAGAACACTAACTTGTAACTGACGATTTTTATGTAATTGATGATCTGTAAAGTATAAATGAAAGATAATTCATGATATGGTAAAAAATTCAAAATCTACTGAGGAATATCTATTTTGAAATAATCGAAGAATAATCACTTGATTTGTAACTAAAGGCATTATTCATTAGTGAAAAATGTGTTTGATGCTTTGTTAAACTAATAGTATAATGTAAATAAATTTAAGTTTTTACACTAATTTTTAGGTGAAAATGATAATACATTTTACCATAACACTGTTTAAGAAATCTATATTAGCTTTGAGAAAATTACATTTTCTGAGTCTAAAACATCAATGAACAAATATAACATGCGATTGGAAGCTTGTTAATATTTAAATAAAAACTAAACTGTTTGTTGTTGAGTGAACTTGTGAATGAGTTTATCAACACTATCTGAACACCTGACTGTCTGATGTAGGTCAGGCACAGTATGCAATAATTGTATGCTAACTGAAATGTCCCATCAAATATTGAGAAATAGAATATCGTGAATATGCATTTAGTGTTTTGTATCACTATGCAAAGTGAAAGGACTATATTTACTGGCTTTTAAATTTCAATGACATACAAAAACTTTAGTTGAAATATGGTGAAATTACATTTATGTATAAAATATTTGACTATGTAGAGTTTGAACTGCTTACTTTCAATATTAAGTATAATGTAAATACTGTACATATCAACAATGTATTTTAATACAAGATTTCCACCTCTTCTTTCTAGCTATTGACGTGACGTGTTGAGACAATGAGGCCATCATTCTATCTTTATAGAAACACTGTCTTTATGGGTGTGATCATGTGAGGATATTTGTATTTTTTAGCAGTCAAAGTTTAGTGCGGGAATAACAGAATATGTTATAATGGTTGCCTCGTTGACTTTTGAAAGTGAAACAGCAGGTGTCCTATGGAACATTGTCTGAAAGAAACTATAAACACTTTAGAAATTTATTCAATATTTTCACAAGATTTGTGTACATGAAAGAAGTTTGAAGGTGTGTTTGCCGGTGATCAACTACCTGATTGTGCAGAAAAACAATTGTATGTCATCAATCTGGATCCAAATCATAAATATGGTAGCCACTGGGTCTGTATTTACATTACACCAATGATTGGTTGAGATGAGAAAGGAGAATATTGTTGCGTCATC